TCTTGAATTTTGTGATCATTCTAAATGCATTTTAATAGACTGAATCATGCAGTGAAATAACACACTCTAAATGTGCACTAGTGTAGACTTCACATAATGTACGCGTGCGCTCTGTAGGTGTGTTTTGAATGTTTTTTGCAAAATACTCGATAATGTCAAATCGCACATCGTTAAACCAACAATTACGATATTATCGAAGACGATATATATCGCACACCCCTATCTGAAGCCTCTCCATAGTTTAATGTGAGGTACAGATGAATATTTAAGTCGTTAAATTCAAGCTTGCGTTAACTCTTCTCAGACGGCGCGTCGCGTTCGGTTACGACAGTCAAGACGATGAAACTCTCTCCAAGATGATTTAGTGTTACTATTATTATACTGGATCTGTAGATAAAGATCAATGGTTTTGCATAAAAGGACTTTATCTGGCTGGAGTTTAGTGCTGTTTCTAAAGCATGTTACTTTCTACCGGATGTCTGTCTGTTAGATCACAGCACTTGAGTAGAGAGTAGGACTGTGCGATTAATCGAAATCGTCATAAAATCGCGATTTGAGCATGCGCGATTTCTAAATCGCTTTATAGCACGATTTTCCGCGCCCCCGACCTCCCCCGTATGCTATCCGAACCAATCAGAATGCAGAGCGCCTAAATGGAGCACGAGAACAGAACAGACCGGGCGGGCATACAAACGTAACCCCAGGTTCACACACTACGTCTGATGTGCGTATTTTGTCCGCGCCCATATTAACGGATCAGAGCGTTCACACTGCATGCGATTGCAGTGCTCCAGGAGCGGTGCGTCTGCAGCAGTCATGCTGCGATCGTTTCCGCACGGAGTCTGTGCTACACGCGCTGAATTAAAGTGACCGCATTATTTCGCAGTAAAAATTAACATGGATTGACACGGAAATTTAGTAATTACACCATAAATGCATATAATTAAAGTCTACTGTTTCACAGTCAACACATGGCTTTTTGGCTAGATTTAAAACAAGGAAAAGTGCACTTTTAGATAAACAAGGCAATAATAGATGGCACTCGTGGTGGTAGTTAAACAAAGTTATATTTATTGAGTTTAAACGTGAATATGTCTATGAAAGATTGTATTACTGTACTGCGATAAAAGAGAATCACAATGGTGAAAAAGCATTTTCAGAAACAACATTTGGATTTGAAATCAAAATAATGGATAAATGTTGTGTTTGTGGTAAACAGTCGCGGATCAGGAGCGGACTGCAAACGCATCCTGTGCGAAAGCAAAATGAGTCCGTGCTGCTTCTGCACCGCATACAAATACGGTATACTCTGAACTGACGGCGTACGTGTGAACTCAACATCTGAGGCAATGCCACAAAGAGCTCTATGACCAATGTATGGCAAAAAAAAAAATCCCTGGACACGGGATACTTTTTTTTT